ACATAAATCATATACCAACTGTATATTTACTGATTTGTATCTACAGTGTAGCAGAAATCACATAAATCATATACAAACTGTATATTTACTGATGTGTTTCTACAGTGTAACAGAAATCACATAAATCATATAACAAATGTATATTTACTGATGTGTTTCTACAGTGTAACAGAAATCACATAAATCATATACCAACTGCGTATTTACTGATGTGTTTCTACAGTGTAACAGAAATCACGTAAATCATATACCAACTGTGTATTTACCGATGTGTTTCTACAGTGTAGCAGAAATCACAAAAATTACAAATGGGAAATTTCCAAGTTTATAAAAACTATCAGATTTGTTAGTCAACTTCACATTTTGGACATGTTCAATTCGGCATTTAAATTTGTTTTCACAATTTGCCACCAGATAACGCCCCTAACATTTTAGTTGTTAGATTGAAAAACTTGTAATCCTTGATTTATTCGTTGAACCTACGTTTGGATTATTGAAGCGTGATGAAATGATAACTCAAAATATTTTTAACTAAAATTACAAATAACAGAAACCGTCAGATAAGTTAACTCTTTCATATCAGGTTAGACTTGAAAGAAGATAGAAATTTAGGCTAAAACAAATACGCCGTTATAGTGACCTAATTTTTGAAGGACTTTAGTGCATACACTTTAATATTAGATTGAATTTTGTTTGCTAAGCCTAATTGTGACATTGAGAAGCATTAGCAAAAAATAATAATTTAATGACGTATTTTTGAAGCGCTTTTATCTCTGATATCCACCTTTCCAAACTAAAAACGATGCGAAGGTAGTTAACAAATTTAATATGAAGTTTGAAGTTCCATTTTCTCACCAAACTTAGTAAAACCAGGAAAATTTTTAATTTGATAAAATATTTAAGTTCGTGAAATGTAACCATAATGATTGCTAAATTAATTCTACTTTTAAAAAGCAGAACACAGTTAATTTTGTATATTAAAAACGTATTTATCATCAGTAATACATATATGGTAAAGTACAATTATAACCTTATTAACTCTTTCACGAGTGCACAAACATTGTATTTATAAAACAGTAACGTATGTGAGTGTTTGTAGAAGAAAGAACCTGACCTTCTTAGGCCTTTAAGACCCAAATTCCGATAACGAATAATAATAATAAGAAGGGAGAAAGTATCAAACAACTAATGTAATAAAGTATATATTTCATTATACGTTCGTTATGTTACTACTTAACATTTGTAAAATTTGAATAACAGATTATAATAGAGGATTCTTGAATGTGAACTTTGATCCCCCCCCCCCAAAAAAAAATTATGCTTTTGTGTTTGAATTCAATCTAAACTTAATCAGGTCCAAAATTAAAATTACCAGCAAATATGGAATCATGACCCTGATTTAATTTTTCATTTAATTGTTACGTGGAATAATTCATTTTTCTACGTTCAATAATTTTTTCACTTATTTATAATATTAACGAAGCATAGCTCTGATAACGTACTATATACAGGGAATAGGGGCTGGGGATCTGGAGGCACGTGCCCCCAATAAGTTCTACACAACAGGAAGTGTAAAGCATATAATTAAAAATTATTATTGCTGTGTTGGTATTTTAAACCCAAAGATATATTATAGATGGCAGCATTACATTTGGTTGGATTAAACACATAATAATATGTATTAAATTTCATCCTAACGAAACAATATATTGTTACGTCTCTGTATGTTTGTTTGTTAATTTTTCTAAGATACAAGTCCTTTCTTCACAAAACGTGTTTATTCTTCCTCAATACAACTTCGTAATGTACTTAATTTTCACAGTTACACACACTATAGTTCAGAACAATTCACTCACTTTCTATTGCGCTTAGATTTAATTGTCCGTCCCGCAAACTATAGTTCCGATCTCTGTGTCTGCTATCCTCAGTTCCCGCCGACCGTAATCGCTGTCTTTCTTTCTCTCTGCCTGCTACGTCTCTGCCTCCTGTCTGTCTCTCTCACTGTCTAGCGTACTTATATACGATAATACTGCCTGTTTGAGAAACTTCTAAGACTCTCAACACGTGCTACCAGCGTCACTTGACTCCCGCTGTCGTAACACACTAGCGAATCTTCTAGAATACTCGTCACGTGACCCCCGCTGTCGTAACAATATTAATAATTTGAGTTCATTTATAAAACCCAACTATTATTAATTGTGTTATAGGTCATGAATAATGTATTTTATTAGTTTTAATTAAGTACAAAGCTACACAATAGACTATCTGTGGTCTGCCCACTACGGGTATCGAAACCCGGATTCAGCAGACATACCACTGTACCACTTGGAGTCATTTTTTTGTGTGCAAAAATTGTATTTTGAAAAATTGAAGAAACCTACTCGGAGGTTATCTTTAAAATGTATTCTAAGTACTTAAACCTATTTATGTATTATAATATGTAAAGTATAACCTATGTCTAAGAAAAATAAACACACACTTGATATCAATGGTAATAAAATATAGAAAAACTTTAATTTGACACAACATTTCGGGTCCAAAACCCTTTTTCAGGTTAAAGTCGCATAAACAGAATACATTCAAATATCACTAAAAAAAAGGTAACAATAGGAGAACGTTTGAGATACAGTATAACTTATGTTTGTTATCTTCTTGGTATCTAATTATGGTATTATGAACATAATTATCGATATTTTTACAACATAACTGGAAAATGTTATTATCTTATGAATTTGGCCCTGATATATATATATATATGTTTCATTATGTCTTGAATTTCGTACATAGCTACTCGAGGGTTATCTGCGCTAGGCGTTTCTTAATTTAGCTATATTATACTGGAGGGAAGACAGCTAGTCAACATCACCCATCGCCAATTCTTGGGTTACTCTTTTACTAACGAATAGTAGGATTGGTCGTCACATTATAACGTCCCCCACTGCCGAAGAAGCGAGTATGTTCAACAACGGGGAATCCGAACCCACGAACTGCAGATTGCTAGGCCTTTTTTTTTTTTTGGAATTAGTTTTTGTGTGGACTTATTCGTGTAAACTTTTATAATCAACATTACAGTACTATGAAACTGTTTGTTTGTTTGTTTTGAAGTTATGCACAAAGCTACACAATGGGCTATCTGTGCTCTGCCCACCACGGGTATTGAAACCCGGTTTCTAGCGGGACACTGTGAAACTGAAAATATAACAAATAGAATAATACGTTGTCCTTGATTCTTTATTTAGTTAACACGTGAAGTTAAACACAAGTAATTTCTCCGAAAAGGCCGCCAGGAGGCGTCATCTGTTTTAGCCACTCACACCAGTATACACCACCCAGTCAGTAGACACTTAAATGACGGCACACGAGGGACGCTTAATGATGCAATTCCTACTGTCGTGACGTCAGTAAAACGTGCACGTGCCATGAATTACGAGATGAAGTAAGCTCTCTGTAGGATACAACACAGCATGACAAATGATCTTCAAAAGGAAGAACTAAAAATAAGTGTGGATTTAAAGTGAGCATTGTTACAAAAGTGTAGTGTCGGTTTATAGAAATCAATTAACAATTATATCTGACAAAATTACCTTTTCTCGGTAAATCCACGGTATATTATAATATAAAAAAAAACACGTCTGAAATTTTTTTTTGGCACTCTTTCAGTAGTTTTAAATTGTATGATATTTAATTTATCTCATTTCTGTCCTCTTTCCAAGTCAGGTGGCCCTCCAGTGGTTCACTCTAAATACCGGGTTTCAACACTTGTGGTGGTCAAAGCGCAGACAAACGAACAAAATAAGATTAACTAGTGCATGACTTTGAGAAACACTGGTTTCAAGCATTTATGTCTACTACAAATGAGGTCTTAGAATCAACGACAGGGGTCGTTAGTGTAACTAAACTGTGGCTCAATAATTTCTCCTTTCTAAACATAAAATTACTTCAGAAAAAAAAAAAGTAATTTTAAAAGTCTTGGATGTGATGAAATGATTCACTATTCCCACTCTTTACTGAACTACGATTTATAAAATGACTTTAATGTTGCCCAGCAATGAACTATAAAATGCTTAATGTTGCACAGCAATGAAGCAATTAAAGGTAAGACAGGTAAAATAACGTTCGCAACCACAGAGACGAAATACAGCACTAGACTTACAACCTGAGAGTCGCGGGTTCGAATCTCCATCCCACCAAACATGCTCGCTCGCCCTTTCAGCCGTGGGGGCGTTATAATGTTCCGATCAATCCCATTATTCGTTGGTAAAAAAGTAGCCCAAGAGTTGGCGGTGGGTGGTGATGACTAGCTACCTTCCCTCTAGTCTTACACTGCTAAATTAGGGGGCGGCTAGCGCAGATAGCCCTCGTGTAGCTTTGCTCTAAATTCAAAACAAACAAACATTAAGGGTAAGCAAAATGTTAGGATGGGAGGAGGGTTTTTGAGAGATGATACCGAAATTCAAACCATCTGCGTAACCCACGATTAACGCTTCTTATTATCATAACCCCAAACAATAATCTCTCCCTTTTATGGAATATAATTTATCTTTCAGACTAATAAAAAAAACCAAAAAACTCCAGGAATACTCCCCTTCTTCAGAACATATACACTTACGACAGTATAAACGTTTTAGGGTTGTTTATCAATTTACTTGTTAAGCTTAAGGATTTGTTTTAGATTAACTTTTTATATTTGATCTATCACTAGTTTTTAAAAATTAATTACAGCTTGTTTCGACAAACAAGAAAACTTGGTCATGGTTTTAATAAACTTATATTTACACCCATTGAAGTAACTATTTTGTATTATTTAGTGAAAGTACGTTTTGTTGATATATGATTATGAATTGTAGTTGATAAAACCATCTCTGGGTAAGAAGAGAAGAATAGAAAAGTATGTAACGTGTAAGTTATTTGTGACGTTTTATAAGTAACTTTAAATATGCAGTTGAGAACGAATAATATTTAAATACCTTTTTTATATATATATATATAATATACGTCAGGCAACAAATGAAACAGTTACCGGATGTGTTGCCCAAGACAGAATGTTGAACTTAGCTTATACCATTGGATCATTTTGTATCGGTTCCTCTGCTGTTATCTCGGGCTTTCTTTTGGAAACATGGGGTCTGAGGAATACAAGGCTGGTTGCTAAGTAAGTACAAATCTCACATAAGTTAACGTTACAGAATTAAATGTCTAACTTGTAGTAATATAACGATCGTTAATATCAAACATTTCCATCCTCTCACGAAGAGCATATGCTGATAAAACAACGTTGTATTACTGTATTTTCGAAAATACCCTAACAAAGACTCGTTGTTCATTAATTAACATGTAAACGGTATAAAAAAATATTTCCTTTTTATTGTGATCGTGTAAAACATGACTAATCATTATCTTTGTTGGGTTGGCGTGTACGGCGTACGGCAGGAATAATTGGCTACTCCTCAACAGCATATCAACTGTGTTGTGTTACAAATATATTCACGTCACGATTAGCAAATAAACTTTATTACAGCGCATTAGCGTCATCTGAATTAAATTGAACTTAACCAGAAATTATTACTGGAAAATCCTTGAAAAGATTAGTAGAGGGAGAAGATACTCTGCCTTATTAGAAGAGCCTTGAGGAGATTAGTGGGGGGAAGAGTACCTGTGCCAAAGCCTTGAAGCGTGTAATAGGAGTGGAAGTAAGAATATAAAATCATCTTGTTGACATTTTGTACCTCATGTTTCAATTAAAATAATTTTAAAATGTTATAAGATAAACGATAATAATAATTGAGTAAAAAAAACAAAAGTAAAAATGGTTGCTACAAGTCAAACTGCGCACTGACAAACGTGCTACAACGGGACTCCACGGTTGAAAGGAGGAGAGCTTCCACTTTAGCCAATGCTAACTCATTTGGCGTATAAATATGTTAATAAATACATAAAAATGTGTAGTGTTATATTATAAATTATTAAAATATATTACGTGCTGTGACTATCAAATGATGACTATTAAATGACGAAGGCTCAGAAAATTACTTCACGTTCACTTTCTCAACTTAATAATACAGAAAGTAAATCATTCAACAAAAGATGGAAGCTGTTTCGTGAGAAGAGCATTAATCCAATCAATTTGTTTTGTTTAAAATAGATGACTTTAGAGCACTGGTAGGAATGGAGGATTTTGATATAATGGGAATAACTGAAAAATGGTTAAACGTAAATCATTTTTATGACAAATTTCTTTGAAATACAGGTTACAGGCTTTTTAATGGTTTGTTTGTTTGTTTTTGAATTTCGCGCAAAGCTACACGAGGGATATCTGCGCTAGCCGTCCTTAATTTAGCAGTGTAAGACTAGAGGGAAGGCAGCTTATCATCACCACCCACCGCCAACTCTTGGGC